CTTCTAGCATTAACAGGGCTTGGGCATTCAGCACTTTTTCTCCCTCTTATCATGCGACAGGCTATTTTTATATTTGCCAGAGTATATTTTGCATCTTTCTTTGATCCAGAATGCAGTCTTGTGAAGCTTGCCTGCATACCGCATTTCCCTTGCTCTGACAGTCCACAGAGCTAAACTTTTCCATTTCACTGTGATTTCAGCATAGGCAGGTAATGGCAGGAGCACACAGCCATGTGTGTGCGTGCCTTCTGCTGCTCCAGCAAAAGCCATGCTGAGCAGGCTGCACAGGGGACTGCCACGTGCCTAAAGCACATGGTCCTGCAGGCAACAGCCGTTCAGAGCCTCACGTGAGAGGCAATGTGAAGAGCAGCTCTCAGTACCAACTTGCTTGACGGTTTGGCTGGTCATTCGCATGTTATCGTGTGGGAGAGCAAAGTTCAGGAAATTCCCAGCTCCTCTTAGTGCTGGAGGTAGTGTCCTTTGACTCTAAGAGAGGGGGCTCATGATGTGGCTCATGCAACACCTAATAACTGCTTATGAACAATGATTAAAGCTTAGGAAAAGATTCCACTTACAGCTGGCCGCTGGGAATGCTACCATTCACACTACAGAGACTATGCTTGAAGAAGAGGTCACATTAAGAAACACAAGGGAAGGAAGGCTACAATAAAGGGAGTGTTACACACACACCCTTTTGTGAGCTACCTCCTTCATCAAGTCATCCTCAGTATGCAGCTGAGAGGCTGGATGGAGCAAGAGCAAGCCATTCCCATTTGGCTGGTGCACCTATCACAAAACAAGAGTTAAAAGAAAATGCTAGAAACTACCCAATCACGTATAGTGCCTATCATTACAATTCAGTATCTATATAAGAAGTAAAAGGTAATGGATCTTGTGCTCTACACAAAATATCCCTACTGAATGAATAAAATATGGCATTTAATAACATGTTTATGTCGGGGGGAGGGGAAAAAAAATCAGTAAATATACCTCTGATAGTAGTGGTTTTCAAGCTTTTTTGGTGAGAATATCCCCAATTTTTTTTTAAGCTGTAAGTGCAGACCCCGTAGACACCTACTGCACACATATGGATTTCTGCAAGATTATAAAGCTTGTTTTCATACATGTGGATTTCTGCAGCAGATTATAAAGCTTTTTTTTTTTTTTTTTAATCACCTTTGGTAGATCCCTTGCAAGTAACCTAAGGCACTGAGCTGCCCAGGCATCACAGTCTGAAAACCACTGTCATGGGAACACAAAGATAAAGCCCCCCGATGGCCTTATCCTCCCCAAGCAGCAGGGCAGCAACAACACAGGACAACACTGTGTTAGCAGCATCCTCTGAAACATAGCCCTAGATCCAAGGCTTTGGTAGCAGATGTAGAGAATTCAGATCTACAACACAAAACCCAGAAGCATTCTAACTAGGGTCTTCCACTAGACTTGGCTGAGGCATCTAAGGTCTAATTCACTCTTCTATACAAACTCTTTACACTAGCTGCCCAATTCACTCAAATAAGGACTACATGGGGGGAGAGGCCATGTAAAAGCAACCACCAACTAGTTCACTGTAAAACATGAACCTCCCTTTACATAAGAACAGCCAAGAATACTTGTTTTTTCCTCAAAGAACTCCACAATTAAATGGAGATTTATGTTCCACCAAAGAACTGGCAAGAGACAGCACAAGATCTGCAATGGATGGAGAACCAAGAAAGCGCGTTTGCAGTAACAGGTTACTTTAAAAGCTAGCATTATAGAAACTGCTTTCCTGAAGGATGCTACAGATTTCAACCAACTAATCAGCATCCACTAGGGACAAAGGGGAAGGTTTCAAATGCATCTACTTATTACAGTGAATGGCAGTTTGCATTGCTAAAATAAATCATCAAAATACTATTTAACAAACCGAAGCTGAATTGTGAAGAAGAAATGTATCAGATTCTCATTTTGCAAAACCATGCATCCCTCCTTATTAAAATACAACCAGTATTCACAGCTTCCCCAAACACAGCAAATTACAGGGAATAAGGTGCTTCCTTGATTCTTTGCTATAGTCCAGAAAACAAATGAGAAACTGCTGTCAGCCAGACAATCCAAGCTGGAAATACAGAATTAAGTTAAAAGGACTTGCTTTCTTTTTTATTTATTTATCTTTGACTAAGGAAAACAAAACAGTGAGGATTCTGTAACGTCATCTTTAAAGTCAGGGTCAGTTGCCGAGCTTGACTACATTGCTCAGTGAATGCCAATGTGAATCTCTGGATCTTTTCCTGCGATTGTATAAAATATGTATTTGGGTGATACCGTTTACTTCTATAGGTGCATAAGGCTCACACATACACGTAAAGTTAAATCTTATCACATCAATTCTGTACAGCCTGTATGTCTGTGATACACCGTGTACGTCCATGAGTCACATCTGACGCTCCACATGCACCCTTCCCTGTACACAGTACATGCACGTATACGTGTTATGGCCCACTGTATGTGAAACACTGATGCCAAACGCTGTGAAGCCATTTCAAGTAGTGACCAGAGTTGTGAAAAGCTCAGGATATGACCCTTCCCAAAGTCGTGGTCCATACTCCCAGAGCAGCTTCAGTTATAACTTTTCAGTAATACAAAATCCACAGGACACCACCACCAAGTTTTTAAAAGAATTGCTATCACCTAAAAATTTCAGTTTTCCTAGCAATAGTAAGATCACATGAAATTAACTTTTACTGAAATTATTTCTATACTATTTGTTCTTGGCTTTATTACAGTAATACAGATCGCAACAGCAATGCTTACTGAAACAGTAGCTCATAGCAATTTTTTAAAAAAAAGTTTCTTTCACATGATAGTTCAAAAAAAAAAAGTTAAAAGCCTTACAGGATATACTAAGAAAAAGGATCCATTATAATGACTTAAATATTTACCTCTGGACTAACTTCCATATTTTAAAGCAGCCCATTTGCCTTGGCCCTTTTATGACAGCCTTAAATGTCATTTCTTTTAAAATTTTTATTTTTAAAATGCATACTGTATTATTTTAAAACTTGCTCAAATAAAAAAAAATCCAAGATCCTCAAAAATAGACTGTGAATATGAGATTTTTGTAAGTCAGGGCACCAAAGGAAAAAAAATTCTAACAGCCTGACAGCAAATCAGATTACTGTTAATTAAGTCATAGCATCTATCCACAACAGGGGGAAAAAATAAATATTTTAAGAAATGGAATGAACTCCCCTTTAAGAAAAAAACAAAAAAATTGTGTTATTCTTAAAGATAGCATGGCACAGAACGTACAAACTGCAAATTAAGATGATTTATCCCACCGGGAGAGACCTGACTTCTTTTACAACAGTACAAAAGTATACAGAGTTTCGAGTGAAAAGAGTTCATAACCCTGAGCTACAAACACAAGAAAAACCTCAAAAAAAAAAAAATCAATGAGTTACAAAAAAAGTCATGCGGATAGTGATTACAAATAAATTCTGACAGGTGATCATTAAAAGCTTGGCCCGTAATCAGGCTCTTCTGAAAAAAGAACGAAGACAGCTTATCTGCTTTTAATTTTACGTGTGCATATGCGATCGAAAATGGGGGGGGCATACACACACACACTACTTTTAAGAACTGACTCAGGAAAGTAAGGTTTTGTTTTATATTCCTCTCTCGCCAACTCCACATATATTTTAATGTTGGAAACTGATGCAAGTTACTGATTAACTATGAAATGCCTTCAAACTGAAATATATAACAATGAAAAACCCACTTTAAGTGAAGGCGAGTAAATGAAACCCAGAGACCTCTGCCACACTTTGACTTCGGGGCACACTTCTGACTTGGGACCAAAGAGTCTGTTGACAGGTGCGTGGTGTTTGACAGTGGGGGAAGGATGTTTCTTTCCAATGAGAAGGGATTGTAACTTGCAGACTTATAACATTTTTCCACTTCATCCTGCTCCACAACTTTTGTCCTTCTATTTATTTATTTTGCCTCCTTATCAGATGATTCTGACAATGACTTCACACGCTGAGCATGGCAAATGATCAAGTAGAAGGGAGAGGAGTGGTTTCCTGCTCCCAAGAGCACACTTCGGTCTAGCAGACCTTGTGTGAGCAGAAGAGCACAATAAATAAGTCACCCATGGACTTAAACACACAACTCCATGTTTTCCAAAATTCAGTGTTGACACTACTCCCCAGACCATGATCTCAGCCACGTTGGTGTGAAGCCAGAGCAGTTATCCACAATTTGTACTAGTGTCTCCAAAGGGATGAGTTAAAGGGCTAATAAACTAAGAGAAGACTTCTTCTGATATCGAATGGGTTTGAGTCGTGCACTAGGATCAAAGCTCGGCTCCATGACGTCTTTTTTGCCTGGAGCTTAAAACAAGTATAGATCTAACACAGCAGCTGAGGTCAGTGGAGTTGCACTCGGTTTATGCTAATTTAACCACAACTATAGTGCAGCTCCAAAATTTAGCTCCTGTCCCAAGTACTGTGGCAAGTTTTATTTTGCTTGATATAGGGTAAGCAAACATGGCCAAACGAACAAACAGGAAGCACTGTCTTTAAGTTTACCTTCAAGATAACTGCCAGGGCTATGGCTGTCTTTGCACACCAAATATTGGCCAAACAAAGAAATATTATTTCATGGTCCTTCTCCCTGTTCATTTAACATTGTGGCATCTACATATTACATTTCCGCTTGTGTCTTTCACTTGCTAATAGCTAGGTTACCAATGAAGAAAAGACGACAGGCAAGTTTTCTTGGAATTCCCAGTTTCCTGACATAATTTAAACACAAATCCCTGCAGAGCAACTTAGCAATAATGAGAGCTCTTGTTTTTATTTTTTGGCATGCCTATGTCTTGAATAATATTGGCCCTCTCTAAGCTGCCTGTCAATCATACAGTAGAAACAGTGATTTACACTGGCAGAGGTGGAAGGGGTGGGGGGAGCAGGCTCACACCCAAATCCATAGGGCAGGTCTTACAGCTGATTTACCTGGTCTGACCGGGCTCTGCATGCAGTTCTGCGACACCATGCCTGGGTGGACTGAAGTAGAAGCCCTGCTGCTGAGGTCCATGACAGAAGGTGATGCTGAGGTAGCTTGCTGGAGACCTGACTGGTGTGGGCTATGCTCATGCTGGTTTGGGCTGGGTGGAATGCCATTTTCTGAGAGGAATTCTTCCAGGTCCATGTATTCCAACTGGAAAGTGTCTCCATCGTATGGCAGTGTCTTGTCCCATAACGTTGGGCCCAAGAAAGCTGACTGAGGGACTGTGGTACTGGTGCTGTCATCATCTAACTTCTTCTCTTTGTCTTTTTCTTTACCGAATGCTTAAACAAAATAAAGATAAAATAAAGATGTAAGATAAAATACAGATGTAAGAGGAGAGCAATTAAATTACTAGCTGCTATTACTACTTCAATTATTCCTCCTGCACTCTCTCAGATGCAAGAAGTGAATACTCTCTCTTCACATAAATAACTCCTTCAATCCATTCTATTTGGCAGAGAACTGGAGGACCATGCCAGCTGAGCATCTTTGCTGGATCCAGCCATGTTTTTAACGTTTCTCTCTATTTTTAGTTAGCAATTCCACTGCATGTGTGGCTTTGAATGCCAGCTCCAATAAGTATTCACAGACTTCTTAGGAGTATGCATTCGAGTTAATAAAGCAAGCTGAAAGATGTTGCTGGATATTGTGTTTTGTTGAAAAGGGAAAATTTTGAGCTAAAACCCCTAAACGTGTAAGTACAACAGTATAATACATAAAGAGCCTAATCTTGCTGTTCAATAGCTGTAACGCTTGCTTTAAGATGGTAAGGGAGCCTCATCAGAAGCAATAAACAATACAATTTATCATTTACAGAAATAATAATGATGTTAACGTTTCTTAATGCTTTGAAGTTACAAACTTTCAACAACAGCGAACTCGGACAAAATATATATTTCAACATGCAGAAGTAGGAGAAAAAAATCCAGAGGTAAAGGGGGAAAAAAGCAAAAAAAAAGTTTCCTATTTGCTTCTATAAAAAGCTTCTAGTACATCAATGCACGCTTTGATGGGAGCACCAGGTTTCTCAACAAGATATGCTACAATTTAAACTGATAAAGCTTTCTGTCAGCTACCATGCCTTCACAGCATTTCCTTTTTAATTACATCTGACCCTGGTGCAATTCTGCAAGCAGCATCGAGATGAAACTCGGGACGCCGAGCGCACTGCAAGAAGTCTTGAATCTGCAGCACAGGGGTTGTTTATAGCATAGATTTGAAGCACTGGAAACACCAAGTACAATTACGCCCGCACCACCTTAGGCTTCCACGAATAAGCTGCAACTTTTTAATTTTAAAACGCCTTTCGGTTGTGCGGGGCCAGATGCTCACCCGCGTCGGTGTCGAAAAGGAGGAAAGGACCGAGCCGGCCCGTTAATTTCATTTTTCCAGCCGGCCGGAGCGACCCCCACCGCGACGGAGGAAAACCCATCGCCTTCCGCTAGGCTAGACCCACTGCGCTTATCATTCACCGCCTAATATCCTTACGGAAATCATCCAATTACTTAATCACCTTGCGGCGGGGGGAGAGGGGAGAAAAGGGAAAGCGAGGCGCGGGGCTGAGGCGGCGGC